GCCCAGTCCCACCTCTGCGGCCCGGGGGCATCGCCCAACACCCCACCTCACCCACCTGGAGGTAGAGCAGCCCGTTCTCCTGCAGGTAGAGGTACTGGAGGCTGCGGAGGCCGCGGAAGATGCCGCTGGGCAGGTTGGCCAGCCGGCACCGGTACAGGTGCAGGGCCTGGAGGCGGTGGAGGCCGTGGAAGGTGTCGGGGGCCAGGACACGGAGGTGCGGGTTGTCACCCAGGTCGAGCTCCTCCAGGGCGGGCAGGTGGCGGAAGGTGCCCGGCTGGATGGAGGAGATGTTGTTGGAGTAGAGCCAGAGGGTGACGGTGCTGGGCCCGAAGGTGCCCGCCCGCAGCGCCCCGATGACGTTGTTCTGCAGGAAGAGGCGGCGGGCGCCGGGCGGGAGCCCCGCAGGCACCGAGGAGAAGTTGTTGGCCTGGCAGCTGACGGTGGGCGGCGAGACGTAGCAGGTGCAGAGCGCGGGGCAGGCGGGAGCCCCGCCGGGCACCCACACCAGCGCCGCCAGCAGCAGCAGGGCCGCCGGGCGCCCGCCTGAGGGCACAGCGGGGCGTCAGCGCGGGGCACCGCGCCTCCCCGACCCCGCGCCGCCCGCCCCGCAGCCCCCAGAGCCCCCCGGGGCCGTGCCCACCCCACCAAGCCACGGGTCCTTAGGAGGTCCTGATCATTCCATAGGACTGGGCACCCCGAGAGGTCTCCAGGACTGTACCCACCCTTAGGGCCATGGGTGCCCAGGAGAACCCCAAGGTCATGACAACCCCGTAGGGCTGGGCACTCCTAGAAGCCCTTCAAAGCCACGCCAGCTCCACAGGGCCGTGGTTCCCCAGGACAGCGCCAAGGTCATCGCTCGCTGTAGGGCTGCACACCCCGAGGTGGGGAACTGTGCCCACCCACAGGGCCATGGCCCCCAGGAGGCCCCTGAGGGTCATGCCTCCCCAGGGATCCCCCCAAGGCCATGCCCACCCACAGGGGCCAAGGTCTCCCAGGAGATCCCGAGGACCACAGACCCCTGGGAGAATCCCAAGGTCATGACACGCAATAGCACCGAGCACCCCTTGAAGCCCCCAGACCCACATCAGCCCTCAGGACTGTGGTCCCCAGAGACCCCCCCCAGGGCTGTGCTGCTGCACAACACCAAGGCTGGGCACCCCAAAAAGTGGCTGTGCACCTGCGACCTTCTGGGGCTGTTCCTGCTACTGGGGCCACGCTCCTCAGGGACCCCCAAAGCTCCCTGACCCCTCCTGCTATAGCCACACTCCCATGGGACCGTGCCTGCCCCACGGTCCACCAGAACCCCTCAGAGGGACACAGACCCCTGGGACCCCCCTCACCCCAGTCTGGGGGGGGGTCCGTGCCCCCTCCCCAAACGGGGCGGTGCCACGTGCGCGCGTGCCGCGGCCACGTGTGGGGCGGGGCACGCGTGGGCGCGGGCTGACGACACGCGCCGCCGCTCCGGGTGTTCAGCATCCCCCCCTTCCCCCCCCCCCCCCCACCCGTGTCCATCCCCCCCTCAGGCTGCAACCCGAGAGCTTCATCCATAATTCAGCCCGGCGGCCTGGATCCACGCCCGGGGATGCGTGGATGCGCCCAGTCGCCGCTACCGGGGGAGGGGAGAGGAAGGAGGGGGGCGGTGGGACCCTCCGGTGCATCGGAGGTCACACCGGAGCTGCACCGAGGGGTCCCACCGCCCCCTTCCCTCCCTTCCCCTCTGCCGGTGCTCCACCAGTTGGGGGGGTACCCACCCCCCCACCCACCCACGGAGGCGTCCGGCGCATCTGCTCAGCGCCGCCCCCCTCCCCCGGCGCCCCGTGCCGGCGTGCGCCCCCCACCCGCGTCCCATCTGTCACTCCCCCACGCCGCGGGCTGACTCAGTTGGGAGCTGAAGTCACCGGTTCTCAGCTTCCCCCCCCCCCCGGGTGCCAAACCCCCCCACCCCGCTACTTGCGGGTACCCCACAGACCCGCGGCACCCACCCGTGGCGTGACCCGGGCGCTCCTGGCTCCCCGCGGTGCCCACATGGGGCAACCGTGGGGCGTCTCCACGCCGGACTGGGGGTGCAGGGGTGCCACCGCGTACCCCCTGGGTCGTGGGGCACACCCCGCTGGGCATCGTGGGGTACCCCCACTCCGGGCTGGGGGTCTTGGGGTGGCACCGGGCAGCCGGTGGATCTTGGAGCGCCCAGAAGCCGGGCTACGCACGCCGGTGCTGCACGGGGTGTGCCGGGGTTCGTGGGGCACCCCCACGCTGCCCCGGGGGGCCCGGGGTGGCAGCGAGTACCCACGTGTCACGGGACACTCCCACACCGGGCTGGGGGTCCCGGGGTGGCACCGGCTACCCCGTGGGTCATGAGACAGCCGCACCTCGGGCTGGGCTGGCAGCGGGCACCGCGTGGGTCGGGGGCACCCTCGCGTCGGGCAGCCGGGGGTCGCGGGGGGCTCAACCTGGGGTGCCCCGGGACTGCGCCCCCACGCCGGGCCGTGCGTCCCGGGGCGGCCCCGGGGTCCCCGCGCACCGGGGGCTCCCGACTCACCCCGGGGCACCCGCACCCCGAGCGCCGCGGGGCGCCCCGAGCCGGGACCGAGGTCTCCGGGTGGCACCCCAGGCTTCACCCGACACCCGTGGGACCCCGCCCGACCCCGCGCCTACCTGGGGGCAGGTCCCGAGCCGTGGGGGGCCGCATGGCGGGGCGGCCGCTCAGGCGCTGCCCACCCGCGGGGTCATGGCCGGTGCCGGGGGGGGCTGCTCGCCCCCGTCGCCCCCGCCGCGCCGCCGGGAGCAGCAGCCGCCGCCGCCCCGGGGCATGGCACGGGTGGGCTCGGGCTCGGGCACGGGTGGGCTCGGCGCGGCGCTGCCCGCGGCTCCGTGGGGCTGAGCCCTCCCCGCGCCGCGCCTTATCCCGGGGCGGCCGCTCCGCCCCCCGCGCCGGCCCCGCCGTTTAACCCTTCCCGGGCTGGCCCGCCCCAGGCGGGACAGGGGTGGGCACAGGGACTCCCGGCGGGGACAGCGGGGACAGCGGGGGATGCGCAGCGGGCGCCCATGGGGGACACGCCCTGCGCGACTCAGATGGGGACTCCCAACGGGGACACGCGGGTGCGATGGGTTCCCCCACGGGGAAGGGACGCAGGGCTCGCGTGGGGAGCTGTGAGCGCGGGACACGGAGGGTGGTCTCCGTCCGTCCGTCCGTCCGTCCGTCCGTCCGTCCCTCCCCCCGTCCCACCATCCCTGGACCGGAGACGGGCTTTGGTGCCCCCGTGGACGGCCGGACCTCGCGGGGGCCGCCCCCGGGGTGGGTGCGGCGGGCCCGGGAGCCCCGCACCCAGCGAGCCGCCGGGAGGGCGCGGGGGGCGGTGGTCCGCGCACCCACGCGGGACCGCGACGCTGTTCGCGGTGCCGGGCCGGCGCTGTCCGTGGTGCCGTCGCGGCGCCGCCCGGCCCGGGGCAGAGCGGGTGGCGGCGGTACGGGATGCACCGGTCCCGCGCGGGCCCCACGCCGGTGCCGCGCGTGGGGGGGGAAACGCGTGGCCGCGCGGGCTGCGGCGGCACCGGCACCGGCTGGCACCGGCGCGTGTTTGCGGCGCCGTCTCCGGCGAGCGAAATGCCACAAGCTGGTGCGGCGGCAGCCGTGGGAGGGGGCGTGGGCGGCGCGGGGCTGACTCAGGGGCCGCCATCCGCTCCCCCCACCCGTGCCCCCTGCCCGGCCACGGAACCCCCGGCCGGACAGCGCTGATCGGGGCAGGGCACGGGAACCCGCTCGGGAGGGGCTCTGGGTGCTGGTGCCCACCCGCCTGGGGAGCTGCGGACAGGGTGGGTAAGGAGGGGATGGACAGACGGACGGACGGATGGATGGGTGAAAGTAGGGGGCAGGTGGGTGGACAGAGAGGTGGACGATAGATTGATGGACAGGTGGACAGACAGATGCATGGAGAACATCTGGAGATGGGGTGGACGAATGGAGAGATGGGTGAAGGATGGGGAGGACAGACAGATGGACAGGCGGAGGGAAGCTGTGGTAATGGGCAGCTGGATGGTTGTGGGACAGATGGATGGGATGGATAGAGTTGTGATGGGAAGGGGACAGATGGACAGGTGACAGACCGATGATGGACAGATGGATGGGTGACAGACAGATGGATGGGTGATGGACAGATGGACGGGTGATGAACAGACAGAAGGGCAGCTGGCAGAGCAGATGAGAGGCAGCAGCAGTGGGGACAGGTGGGGACAGACCAGGCAGCAAGCACTGGTGGATGGACAGAGGGACAGAGGAGAGGATGTGGCCAAGAGCAGGGTGACAGGAGGGACAGCAGTGTCCTGGGCAGGGAGAAGGCAGGGAGTGGGGGACGAGGGACAGGCGGGGGACACAGCACAACACAGCAGAGTGGCATGGGAATGGCTCCGGGATGGCACAGCTAGAGTGACCCAGGGATAGCCCAAGGGTAGTCCCGGGGTGTCCAGGAATGGCCTAAGGGGTGACCCAAGCGTCACTGAAAACTGGCCCAAGAGGGACCAAAAGGGCGATCCAAGGTGGCCCGAGGGTGGCGCCAGCAGGAGCGCCTCTTGGGGACAACAGGTGAGATGTCACACCTGGAGATGGAGGGGGGCACCCGGGGGGCGTAAGGGCGGCACCGGGGGAGGGCTCCGTGCCGGGACGGCCCCTCCTGGGCGGACCCACGGGTGACCGGGGCCGCTCCGCCGAGGCCGCCTCCGCGCCCCCGAACCGCCGGGCCCGGGGGCGGGGCCCGGCCAGACCCGGCAACTCCGCTCCGCCCGCAGCGGCGGGGGGGCCGGGAGGGGCCGCGGCACCGGGGACACCGGGAGCATCGGAAACACCGGGAGCACCGGGGCGGGGAGAGCCCGGTCCCCTCCCCGCCGGGCCGGGCGGGAGGCGGGTGAGCGGCGCGGGGATGCGGCGGGAGGAGCCGCGGGGCGCGGAGGGGCCCGGATGGCCACGGAGCGGCGGCGGGAGGGCGTTGTGACCGGCAGGGAGGGCCCGGGAGAGGGGGCACCGAGGGCCCTGGGCCGTGGCCTGCGGAACCGGGCTCGGCGTGGACGCGATGCGGATGTCCGGGGTGCCCGGGGCGGTGCCGCGGTTCGCGTGGCCGAGCGGCGGAACCGCTTCTGCCCCGGGGCCGTGGGGGAGGCTCGGGGGGCCGGCACGGCGGGGACCCACGGCTGCCCATCCCCGGGACCACGCGTGTGTCCCCCCGCCACACGTGTGCGGCACAAGCCCCGCGGCCGGGGCCGCTCCGTGGGGCGCGGGCGGTGCCACCCCGGGACACGCGTCCTGCAGGGGCAGCGGGGTGGGGGGCGCGCCCAGCCCTATGGCAGCCCCCGGGGGTCCTGTGACCCCACCTGCTCCCACCACGGCCCGGGGGGAGCTGGGGGGACACAGCAGGGACAGAGGGGACGCTCATTGATGCTGCTCCCTCGTGGAGGGCTCACCGGGGCTCCGGGGGGCTCACCAGTGTGGGGCTGTCGCTGCTGTGGGGACTCACCCGTGTGGCTGGCAGAGACAACGTGTCTGGGACATCCCAGTCAGGCCAGTGGCTGACACCCATAGTGAATGGCTCGGGGTGCCCCAGACAGTGACGCCCATATATCAGGGAGCCCCGGTGTCTCCCAGCTGCTGTAACACCCCCAGTCTGTAATCTTTTTGGCCACTCAGGTGGCTAAAAATAGTACAGGTCCCCCCGGGCCGGCCCCGCCCGGCTCTGTCCGGGTTAATCTTCAGCTGCTGGTCACTGTAATGAGGCCTCATTACCTGACATCGCAGCAGGCAGGGCACTGGGACAGGGACGGCTCTGGGCAGTGACACGGTGACAGGGGCTTGGAGCAGCACAGCCAGGCTGTGTGTGGGTGAGGGAGGTGGGGGGACACGGAGGACAGTGAACTGGGTGGCCTTGGTGGCCTTGCCACGCTGCTGTGGGAGTCCCAGCAGCTGGTGTTCCCAGGGTTGTGTTGTCAGCCCCAGCACGGTGACAGTCCCCAGTGCACTGCAGTGCTTGGGGTAGCAATGTCCCCAGGAGACATGTCATGGTCCCCAGCAGTGGGAGGGGATTCCTGGAGACATGACAGGATCCCCCAGGGGGTGGCAGGGTCCTAGAGACATGACAGTGTCCCTGAGAGCTGTGCCAGGGTCCCCAAGGGAGGGCCCCAGGGGCTGTGCTGGGGCCCTGCGGGGTGTGTCACTGTCCCCTGCAGCGTGCCTGTGTCCCCAGGGGCTGTGCCAGCATCTCCAGGGATTGTGCCAGTTTCCCAAGCACTGTGCCAGGCCCCGGGGGAGCTTGTGTTGGTGTCCTCGGGGGGGTTGCCAATGTCCCCAGGGGCTGTGCCAGCGTCACCAGGAAGAGTGCCAGTTTCCCAAGGGCTGTGCCAGGTCCCCAGCAGGGTGCTGGTGTCCCTGGGGTGAGGTGTGTTGTTGTGGTGTCCCCAGTGCTCACACCAGGGTGCGCAGCATCGTGCCAGTGTCCCGTGGCTGTGCCAGGTCCCCTGGGGATGCTGGTGTCCCTGGGAGGATGTTGGTGTTCCCAGGGTTGTGTTGTCACCAGAGCACGCACTTGGATGCCCAGTAGTGTGCCAGCGTCCCCAGAGTTGTCCCAGGTCCTGGGCCAGGCTGGCTCGGGGCAATAGGGACAGCACAGGGGGGTCCTGGCACAGTGAGGGGACCGAGCCCCCATCGGGGGGCCCGAGGCACTATCGGGGACTGCCATCCTGGGGGCCCCGCCTGTGCTCCCGAGAGATTAGGGGGGAGGCACTGGAGTGCAGAGGTGCGTCCCAGCCGCGCTGCCGAGGTTCAAACTCTGCGGTGGCGGTGAAGGTGACGGTGACAACAGGAGGGCCTGGCCTCGTGCAGGTGGGTGAGGGGTGCAGGACGGGAGTCAGCAGGCACAGTCGTGTGTGCAAGTGTGCATGCCTGTAAACCTGTGTGTGTGCCTGCTAACAGCTGTGTGTGTGTGACTATAAATGTGTGTGTGCTTATAAATGTGTGTGTGTGCTTATAAATGTGTGTGACTATAAATGTGTGTGTGTGCTTATAAATGTGTGTGTGTGCCCACAAACCTGGGTGTGTCCCTGCAAATCTGTCTGTCAATAGCCATGTGCCAAATGTCAACAGCTGTCCCCATGTGTGCGAGCCCTGGCTGTTGCAGGGCCCTGCCCTGCGCCCTGGCACATGGGGGGACACTGGTGCCAGCCGCTGTGGCCAGGGACAAGGGACAGTGGCCTTTGCCCAGGTGGCCACGTGCACCCCAGGTGTCCCTGTGCCCCCGGTGGGTGCCAGCATGGTGTGACGCCTGGCCTTTGTCACCCACAGGCTCGGCAAAGACGCCCCAGGCTGGTGACAGCCCGGGCCAGTGGCGGCCTGGGCAGGGGACATGGCGGGGGGCGCGGGGCTGGCCAAGCGCCTGGGGACCCTCCTGTCAGGGCTGCTGGAGTGCGGCGCCTTCTGCGGCATCATCTTCGGCTGGGCCTCCCTCGTCTTCGTCCTCAAGGACCTGGGCTACTTCGAGGGGCTGTGCCAGCCCTCCGCCACCCCCGGCCCCAACTTCACCCTGGGGTCTGGTATGGACCCGCTCCTGTCCCCATGGTCCCCTGACTCGTGACCCCACTGTCCCGATGCCCCGTGCTGTCCCATGTCCCCGTTATACCTGTGCCTTTGCTGTCTGCGGTGTCCCGATGCCCTGCAGTGCTCTGTGTCCCCACTGTCTCCAAGCCCATGTGCCTACTGTCCCCCAGTCCATGTCTCTGGTATCATCATGTCCGTGGTGTCCCCACATGCCTGGTGTCCCCTGCATCTCTGCTGACTCGTGTCCCCGGGTGCCTGCGTCCCCACACCCGTGCTATTCCTGGTGTCCCCATGCCCCACCTGTGGCCGTTCCCAGACTGCAGCAGGCAGGATGAGCAGTTCTCCCTGGTCTTCACCATCGGCTCCTTCATGAACAACTTCATGACCTTCCCCATGGGCATCGTCTTTGACCGCTTCGGCACCACGGCCGCGCGCCTCATCGCCATGTGAGCCCTGCGCTGGGGGGACACAGGGGACAGGGTTGGGGGGCAACTGAGGACAGGGGGCTGTTGGGGTGGCCTGGCTCCCAAAGGGCTGGGTAGGGGAATCACCTGTGATTGCCAGGATCCCGTTCCCAAGTGTCACCGCTGTCCCCTTTAGCTCCCTCTACACTGGCGGGACCCTGCTCGTCGCCTTCTCCACCCCAGGTGAGACCCAGGGGGTCCCCAGCCCTGGGGGGGACCTATTGGGTGACCCCTGTCCCCACTGACCCCTGTGTCCCAGAGCTGGCGATGCTGCTCTTCCCGGCCATGTCCATGCTGTCGGTGGGTGGCATCCTCCTCATCCTCACCAACATGCAGGTGGGTTCCCCCTGCACCCTGACACCCACCTGCCCGACACCCACCCTGCTGGCACGGGAGGGCTCTGAGGGCACACAGGGCTCTCTCGGTGCCAGGTGGGGAACCTGTTTGGGAACTACCGCTCCATCATCATCACCCTCTACAACGGGGCCTTCGACTCCTCCTCCGCCGTCTTCCTCATCGTCAAGGTGGGTGCAAGGGACGCGGCAGTGGTGGCAGGGGAGGACAGAGCTGGGAACAGTTGGGTCACATCTACAGACATATTGGGGACACAGCTGAGTCACTGCAGGGGCCACCTATGGGAACACACCTAGGCGCTGAGCAGCTGGCCGGTGGCAGCCTGTCTCTCTCTGTCCCTGACTCCGTCCTTGTCCCCAGCTGCTGTACGAGCACGGGCTGTCCCTGCGGGCCATGTTCCTCTTCCTGGCAGCCTGCAGCGCCTGGCACCTCCTGCGCACCCTCTTCCTGATGCCGCGCAGCCGCATCCCCTACCCGCTGCCCCCCGATTACAACTACGGGTACGGGGGGGCTGCCTGCGCCCTGCCGGGGCTCTGGGGAGAGGGTGGCTGGTCCCACCCTGCGGGCAGCGGCTCCTGTCCCCTGGGCAGGTCCGGCCCCAGCAGGGGGACGCAGGGTGACGGAGGCCCTGCCGCAGGCTGCGGTGCCGGGGCCGTTCCCGCTCCTACCGAACCCGCAAGGACAAGCAGCCCCCGGGAGAGGCTGGACCCGAGGAGACACCCCTGGAACCGCCCGTAGCTCGAGGTGCCGGTGCGGAGGGGGGGGAACTGCTCGGTGGGGTGGGGCTGGTATTTGGGGAGGGCGTGACCGGGTGGGCGTGACAACAGCTGGCAATGGGCGGGGCTATGTAATTTAAGGGCGTGACTTGATTTTATGTGTATTGCATATATAAATAAGTGGGTGTGGCCTTCCGATTGATGGGCGTGGCTGTTGATGGGCGCGGCTGGAGGACGGCTGCGATATGCAAATAAAAGCGCTGGGTGTGGCAGTGGCCAAAAGGTGGGCACGGTGACATCTCTGAATGGGCAGGGTCATACCGGCGGCTGTGAGGCCTCAGTGGGTGACAGGGACAAGGTGTGGGTGCGGCCTGGGGGGGGTTGTGTCTGTATGTGCCCTTCCCTGACACCTGCACAGGTGGGGACGCCACCGGGACGCCGTTCCGGTCCTGCGCCTGCTCGTGGCTGTTCGCCTGGCATGTCGCCTGGCTCTCGGTGATGCAGCTGCGGCATTACCTGTTCATCGGCACCCTCAACCCGCAGCTCGAGCACCTGGCAGGGGGGGACCACGCCCTGGGTAAGGCATCGCGGTGGGGGGGACATGGCAGGGACCCCCAGGGCCGGCCCCGCCCGCCTGACGCTGTCCCCCCGCAGTGAGCACCTACACCAACGCCTTCGCCTTCACCCAGCTCTGCGGGGTGCTCTGTGCCCCCTGGAACGGCCTCATCCTCGACCGGCACAAGCGGGGAAAAGCCCCCCGCCCTGAGGGTAACTGTCCTCCCAGCCCACCCCACGGCAGCTGAGCCCCCAGCCCCATCGCCCGTGCGTAGTTAACCCCCATGGCCCTGCACCCCCAGCAGAAGTGCTCTTTGGCCCCGCACTATGGGGGTAACCACTCCTTCCAGTCCTGTGCTCCCTGTCCCGTGTGTCCTCATTGCTGCCACCAGCAACTGGAGAAGGGACACGGCGGGCCGTGCCCCCATGCCGTGCCCCCCATGCCCACAGGGACCCTGGCCGCGCTGGCAGACCTGCGGTCGGCGGTGCTGTCGCTGGTGGTGACGGTGGCACTGTGCCTGCTGTTCTCTGTGTTTGCTGCTCTGCCTGTCCTGCCCGCCCAGTTTGGCACCTTCGTGCTGCAGGTCATCAGCCGCTCCTTCCTGTACGGTGGCAATGCTGCCTTCCTGGCCATCGCGTGAGTGGGAACAGCCACGGCCACGGGGACGGAGGGTTCAGGGTGGCAGGGCATGGTGGCACCCTTGTTGTGGGTGTGACAGGGGGCAGACGGGGTGGCATGGTCAGGGTGGGGTGGCAGACGCGGTGGAGGTGTCAGGGGACAGTGGACTGGGGTGGGGCTGTCAGGGCTCAGGAGGGGGCCAGGGTGGGGTGGCAGGAGGTGCCCGCTGGTGACGTGGGTGCCTGGCAGGTTCCCCCCGCAGCACTTCGGGAAGCTCTATGGGCTGGCCATGGCACTGTCAGCGCTGGTGGCCCTGCTGCAGTACCCCTGTGTCGCCCTGGTGCAGGGGCCGCTCCAGGGGGACCCTTTCTATGTGAGTGTGCCCTGTGGGCCCCCCAAGTGAGGGCTGGGGGGCTGCTCCACGGGGAAATGGGGGTCCTGCCCTGGGAGGGAAGGGAGCTTGCCACATGGGGAAATGGGGGTCTCATCCCTTGGGAAAATGGGGATCCTGGTGCTGCCCGTGTGAAAATGGGGATCCTGCCCCATACGGAAATGGGGATGCTGCCCCAGGAGGGATGGAATCCTTCCCACAGGAGTGGCGGGGTCTTATGCCATGAAAAATGGGGGTCCTGCACCAGAGAGGGATGGGTGTCCTGCTCCTGGGGAAATGGAGGTGCCCCAAGTGTCCTGGCCTAACAGAGGGGATGGGGGGAGGACTCCCCAGACCCCTGCCCTGACAATCTTCCCCTCCACAGATGAACTTGGGGCTCATTGCCGTGGTGCTGGTGGCCTTTGTCAGCCCCGTGGTGGTTGCCCGCAAGTGCCAGCGGCGAGCCAAGGAGCTGGGGATGGCTGGCACACCCCTGGCAGCCCCCTCTGGCACTGAGATCCACGCCGAGACCCCACACTGAGCCTCACACCCAGAGCACCATTTTTGTAGCAGCCTGGGGGTGCTGTGCCAGTGGGGTGGGGGGGGGTGTTGGGCATAATAAACATCACTGCCCCCTCCACTTGCTGTGCTGTCCCCACGAGTCCCCAGCCCCGTCCCCAGGCCCCTGGTGCACACAGACACGGCTCAGGACATCTCTGCTTTACTGGGAAAGGAACTGGGGCGCCATGGCAGCGCTGGGGGTTCAGTACTGGCAGATGAAGGGGCGCAGCTGGAAGCAGAAGCGGCTTCGCCAGAGCCCATCTGGGGACAAGGATAGTATCAGGGCCATCGGTGGTTCCCAGGTCCCCTCAGTACCCTGCAACCACTTCCAGTTCCCCCTATATCCCCCCTTGGCTCCCTCAGTGCCCTGTAACCCCTCCCAGTTCCCCTCCCAGTGCCCTCGGTGCTCCCCTCTGTTCAGCCAGTGCCCTGTAGACCCCTCCCCATAGTGCCCTCCCAATCTTCCTCCAGTTCCCCAGCAGCCTGTGCTCCCCTCCCCAGCACCCCAAAAGCCGGGACACGGTGGGTGGGTGACCTTACCTCGGACGCTGAGGGTGGTGCAGGTGGTGACAATACCGAAGGGGTGGGTGGGTGCCCAGTTCGCATAGTTCCAGGGGCTGGAGTCCTCCCAGTAGGACTCCAACTGTCCCGCCTGCTGTGCCAACACCTCAGTCCCCAGGGAGAGCCCCCACCACCCCTACCCAGCCCATTGACCCCAAAAACCAGCCCCAGCAATCAATGGCCAGCCCCTCATGCCTCAAAACCCAGCCTCCAGCCCCAGGCTCGTCCCCCACGAAGCAGCCCCAGCCCCTCACTCCCCAGAGCAGCCCCCAGCCGATCTCCTCGCCAGGTCCCAGCACCCCTTTGGCAGCCCCTTGTCCCCGGAGTGCCCTCACCCTGCGGCTGGTGACAGCTCCAATCCAGGGTGAGACGATGGTGTGGTGGGTTTGTGCCAGTTTCTGCAGCTCCTGGTTGCGGGCAGCGCTGTGCACCGAGACCAGCTGGCCCCGGTACACGTCCCGGCAGTAGCGCTGTGGGACGGGCACAGGCTGGCACCAGGCTCTCACCTGTGCCCACGGGCACGGCCTGGCACCCCCTGTGCCCCATGTCCCCTCACCTGAGCGCCCGAGTAGGTGCGCAGCTTCTTCACCACCACGTAGTGCAGCTGGGTGGCCTCAGCCGCGGGGAGCCCCTGGAGCTGGCAGGGGGCTGCAGGGCACAGCAGGGGATGGGCTGGTACCGGGGGTCCCTCCGCCACCCACCGCCAGCCCCAGGCACGTGGCATCGGCGCTGTGGGCATGGCAGGGACTGAGGGTGTCCCCAGGGTGTCCCTGGGAGTGAGCAGGGGTGTGGGGATCACTCAGTGGGGCAGGGGGACACTCACCAGGGTGGCTTGCAGAGACAGTGCCCAGCAGGGCGAGAGCGAGCAGCAGGCAGGGCCACATGGTAGCAGGACATGCAGGAACACTGGGGACACCACCAGCACCCTCTGGAGATGCCACAGGCCTGTCACTCTTGGCCACCCCCCACCATGGTCCAGAGTCCCTCTGCCATCCTTGGTAACAATCTCTTCTCTCTGTGGCCCTTCTGCTATACCCCATGTCCCCACTGTCCTTCTGCCACCCCAGTTCCACCTTGTGTCTCTCACCTCATCCTGCCCCTCTGTGCCGCATATCCCCCCTGTCCTTCCACCTTCCCCTGTGCCACTCCCACGTACTCCTGGCATCCCAGAGACCCCCGTGTCCCCCAACACCCTCGTCCCAGCCTCAGGGATGCCCACCCCTGGTCCCCACCCCAGCAGCCAGGGGCTGAGCCCACTCTGATGTCCCCCTCCATGTCCCTGTCCCCATCCCCGCTCCTCACCTGGTGTCTGGGGGAGCTCTGCCCCTTGTCCCCCTTTATAGGGGGGACGGGGCCACATGTCACCACCACAGCCTTGCGCCACCCAGCCTGGCCCTGGGGACACCATGGGGACACTGGGAGGGGGGGAGGGAGTCCTTGCCCGCAGTGGGACAGACATGGCCCCCAGGGAGGTTGGGCTGCAGGTTTGGGGGTGCCCAAGGCAGCAGGTGGGTGGAGCAGTGGAGGCTGCTCCAGTTTGAGGGGTGCAAGATGGGTGTATGGGGTGCAGCATGTGCTGGGGGGGGTGCTGGGGGTGCAGAGGGGATGTTGGGGTGCTGATACCATCTCCCGCTGGCCATGCTTGCCCAAGGGCCATTTCCTTTCTAACGGCTGTGGCCCCCTGGGTCCGGCCTGGCCGTTTGCCCACAGACCCCTTTGAGCCCCCCTTAAATCCCCCATTCCCCTGACCAGCCCCCCCAGCCCACAGCTGAGCCCCCCCGAGGACTCTGCACCCCAATCCTCATCTCCATGCCCTGTGCACCCCTGCATCCCAACACCTCCAGCCCCTGTACCCCAACCTCCCTGAGCCCCTGTACTGACACCCTGCCCCCCAAACTCCCACAGCCCCCTCCCCACACCCCCCTCTTCATGCCCCCACACCCCCTCCCCTGGACCAAGCACACCCCAGGCACTGGCTGGGCAGGGTGCTGGCAGAGCCCCTCTGGGGTGGCCCCACCATGTCCCCAACAGTTGGTGGTTGGGGATGTCACAAGGCTGTGGTTGGGGGCACATGTCCCCATCAACAATATAAGGGTGGCAGTGGGCAAAACCCCCCAAGACCCAGGTGAGGAGCGGAGACAGGGCCATAGGAGTGGGATTAGCCCTCAGCTGCAGGGCTGGGGGTTCCTGAGTCTGGCACTGGGGGGCTCTGGGTGCCAGGGGTGGAGGGGGCATGGTGGGGGACAGAATGTCACAGGATGTATAAGGGAGGGAGTGACCCAAGGGTGGGAAGTGAGGAACTGGGCACATGGTGGGCACAGGAGGGCTGGGGTCTGTGGGGATGGCCATGGGGGTGGCAGAGGGGACAGGGCACGGGGTGGCACTGGGATGGTGGAGAGACAGAGGGGATATGGGGGGATTTCTGAGGGGATGTGGGGAGGACAAGGTGATGCTGGGGGTGGCAGAGGGTCCACGGGGATGTCACCAGGGTGGCCAAGAGTGATGAGGCTCTGGGATCTCCCAAAGGTGCTAGCGGTGTCCCCAGTGTCCCTGTGCCATGCGGCCCTGCCTGCTGATGGCCCTGGCCCTGCTGGGCACAGTTCCTGTCAGCCACTCTGGTGAGTGCCCCCCACCTGCCTGTGGGGACATCCTGGGGACACCCCTGATCTCAGGGTGACCCAGCCAGTGTCCACAGCTCTTGGCAGCCCTGCGGTGGAGGATGAGGAGGACGTGACAGAGCTGGAGATGCCTGAGGAGTACAGTGGATGCCGGGGGGCCGGTGACAAGCAGGCACTCGGTGTCCCCAGCATGCTGGGCACCGCCACCTGCCGCTACGTCGTCATCTCCCGCTGCAGAACCTTCCACATTGCGCAGGTGGGATGGGGTGGGATGGGTGGGGGGTCGGGGTGGGGGCACCAGTGCCCCCCGTGACAGCTGTGTCCCTGCAGCACATCTGTGCCAAGCGCTTCCACGGGCGCTTGGCCTCGATCCACGATTCCCACACCAACACCTTCCTGCTGCACCTGGCGCGCCGGCACACCAACGCTGGCCTGGTCTGGATCGGTGCCGTCAGCCAGCCCGCCGTAAGGACCCTGCCACACACCCACCACCCTGGCCTTGGGGCACCCTGTCTCCTCCCAGTGTCCCCAGTGCCCACCTGGGTGCTCCAGCCTTGTCCCAATATCTCTAATGCCCACCCTGGATATCCCGTTCCCATCCCACCGCCTCCCAGTGCTGGGAGTCCCTACGCCCTTTCTCCCCTGGCAGATCCCAATCCCGAGCTGCCACTGGACTGACAGGAGCCCCTGGAACTACAGCCGGTGGGTGCCTGGACACCCCCTGCCCGGCCACCGCTTCTGCACCGCCCTCTGCACCAACAGTCAGTGGGGGCTCTACAGGAGGGGTTCGGGGGGCGCTGGGGTAGTCCCTGCCCATGATGGGGGGAAGGGTGCTGAGGGGCTCAGGATGGGGGGGTGACACTGTGGGGCTGGTATAAGGTGTCTGGGGGGCTATCCCTGGGGCTGGAGGGGGACCCTGGAGATGGGGGTGCTGGTGGGCAACGGGCTGATGCCCCCTTCTCTCCCCAGATGGGCTCTGGATGAGCGTGCGCTGCAAGCGGTGGCTGCCCTTCATCTGCGAGATATGAGGGGCTCCCCCGGGTGCCCCCGGGCCTCCCCTACTGCTGTTCCCCTACAGGGGGCTGCACCCCCTCCCTCGGAGTACAATAAAATCTTGGTGTCAGCACCCGCTTGGTGTTTGGGCAGGGCCAGGGGGCCTGGCTGGGTGCACCCAGGGTGGGCACAAAGGGGTTTTGGAGGTGTCCCTTCTTTCCTGCACAGTGCGGGTGATGGCAGTGTTCCCCCTTCAAGGACCTCTGATCCCTGCCCACTGCCCAGGAGAAGAGCCAGGACTCTCCAAACTGACCAGCGAGGTTTTATTGTCTGTCTGTCTGTCGTGGTGGCAGTGGCACCACGAGCTGGACCCATTGCCCTGTGTCCAGGGCCATACATGAGCAGGGGGGAGGGGGAAGGGGGGCTCGTGCCCACCCCCAGACCCCTGAGGACCAAGGGGATGGGGTACAATGGGGGGATGGGGAGGAGGTGTTGGGAAGACGGGGACCCTGCGAGCTCGTACAAAGTGCATAGGTGTGTGGTGTGTGTGTGTGTCCCCACGGGAGAGGACAGCCCTGGTCCGGTGACAGCGGGCTTCAGCGTCAGAGTGAGCCTGGAAGTGACACGGAGGAAGGGAGTGAGGACCCTGCAGGGCCCCCCCAGGGATTACCCATCCCAGGGGACCCAGCCAGAGCACAGAGGAGGGAGGGGATTACCCCCAGCATTGCCTGAAATCCCACACTCACCCCGCTCAAGGCTTCTTCCTTTTTAGCTTTAGCGCCTGCAGCCAGTGTGGGGCAGAGGCCTCGGATCTGGGGAATCGGCAGAGTTTCAGCAGGAGCTCCCCAAAACCAGTCCCAGGACCCAGACTGACCCCACAGCACCCCCTTTTGCTTCCATGAGGAGGATCCTAGCCCCACACTCACCGTGAGGACTTCTCTGGCTTGGGGGGCAGGGCTGGGGGTTTCCCACTCACACCAGGGATCTTGCGGGACTTGGAGCGCTGCACATGGGGGTCTTTAGAAGGGGTCCCCTTGCTGTCCCCTGACGATGTCCCCTCCTCAGCCGAGCGGTTGTGACCCCTCAGCTTGGCCTGGGGGCAGAGAGAGAAGTCAGGAAGAAACAGTGCTTTGTCCCCCAAACCCCACCACTGCCTTCTCCCCGTCTTTAGCCAGGCCCCAGCCCCACCCTGCCTTAGTTTCCCTGAGTTCCACCCTCCCTTCCACCCTGCAGCCAGGAGTCCAAGGGAGTCACCTTGATGGCGGAGGCGCTGAGGCCAGGAAAGAGCGGCACCTTGACCCCCCTGCCCGAGGATGAGCTGCGCATCCGCCGGCTCCGGGGCTCCTCCGCTGCTTCCTCGTCAGATGCTGCTGGGGCTGGCCGGGGCTCTGTGGGGACACAGGGACAGTGTCACAGCGACACTGTACCAGGATAGACACCCCACTCCCATCCCCATTCCTGCTGGGCTCACCGGTGGAGTCCCGGAAGATCCAGCTCTCCCCCTCGGTGGTGGTGGGGCGCAGGGACGGCGCTCGGTGCTGGCGCTTGCGGCCCAGGCTGGCCTTGCAGCGCAACACACTGCTGTCCAGGAGCTCTGTGTCCTGCCGAGCCCAGGGGACGGGTCACAGCTGGCACGGGGAGCCCAGGGACCCCCCACCCCAGCCCCCACAGCAGTGCTGGGGACCCTCAATCCATGGCTGTACCTGGGAGCAGCAGGGTCAGAGAGCCCCATCCCCCGACACATCCTGTGTCCCAGGCCATACAGGGTGATTGCAATCTCCCCACTTCCACTCACCTCCAGAAGAGGAAATTCCTGTCCCTTCTCCACAGACCCCTCAGGCTGGGGGGTAGTCAGTGAGAGCCGCTGCTCCCCCCAGCTCGAGGGGCTCTCCCCATCTGGGTGGTCTGAGGGCTGCTCCTCACTTCCTGTGTCTGCTGGGATCCCACTGGCAACCTCTGGCAGCAGAGGGGGGACCCTGGGGCTCTGTAGGGCAGCAGCTGTTTCAGAGGCATGCCTCTCCTCCTCAGAGTGGCTGGGTGACTCACTCCGGGGGGGCTCCACAGCTGGGCAATAGGCTGGAATGTCACCCATGGAAGGGCTGGGGGCTGACCTGCTAGGGGGACAAAACCGCAGAGTTGCTTTAGTCCAGGTAACACCAGCCCTGGTCCAAACCCCTCCGTCTGCCTCAGGGGAAGCTGTTCCCTCCCTGCCCCCACCAGGGCCCTCCTTACCCGTGCTCTGCGCCGGTGTGCTCTGCGCCGGTGTCCCCTCCCACGCTCTCCTCCCGCGCACCAAGGTCCCGGCTGCGGGCGGCACAGCGGGCGCTGAAGGCACTCGCCCACTCCTGGCGCCTGGCCTCAGCATCCTGTGGCTCCACACTCCAGCTGCCCAGGTCCTGGCTCCAGCGGGCATTGTCCACGTCCAGAGAGAGATCCCTGTGCAAGCCTGCCTGGGGCTGTGCCAGGATCCCGGACATGGAGCCATCCGAGGCAGTGCAGCGATCTGGCACCTGCTCTGTCCCAACGACACCAAACTGGTTCTGGCACTCAGCTGTTCCAAGCTCCCAGTCCCTGCTGCCACAGCTGTGACTCTCCTGCTGGTGGGCACTGCCCCAGGTGGGCTCCTGGGCTGGGGGCTCAGGGCCGTGGGAGCTGGGCATGTCCTCCTCACCAGCCCTGACCTGCCCGGTCTGCCCAATGCTGCTCTCACCGGGCCAGCTCAGCCGGGCTGGGACCAGCTCCTGCTCTTCCTCCCTGGGGGTCACAGAGCTGTGCTGCCCATCCCTGGCTGCTCCACTGGGGCTCAAATCTCTGTCCCCTGCCTCCACATCCCTGGTGCTGGACCTGTCATCCCAGACACTTCTGCTGGGGCTGAACTCCCCATTCCGGGTCTCCGTGTCCCCAGTGCTGCACCCACTATCCCCAGCTGCTCTTCTGGATGTGAATCCACTGTCCTGGGTCTCCAGGTCTCTGGTGCTGCATTCACTGGCTTCAGTCAGCTTGCTGGGGCTGAACTCCTGATCCTGGCTTTCCATGTCTCTGGTGCTGGATCTGTCATCCCAGGCTGGTCTCCTGGGGCTGAACTCCTGATCCTGGCTTTCCATGTCTCTGGTGCTGGATCTGTCATCCCAGGCTGGCCTGCTGGGGCTGAACTCCCGGTCCTGGCTTTCCATGTCTCTGGTGCTGGATCTGTCATCCCAGGCTGGCCTGCTGGGGCTGAACTCCTGATCCTGGCTTTCCATGTCTCTGGTGCTGGATCTGTCATCCCAGGCTGGTCTCCTGGGGCTGAACTCCTGATCCTGGCTTTCCATGTCTCTGGTGCTGGATCTGTCATCCCAGGCTGGTCTCCTGGGACTGAACTCCTGATCCTGGCTTTCCATGTCTCTGGTGCTGGATCTGTCATCCCGGGCTGGCCTACTGGGACTGAACTCCCGATCCTGGCTTTCCATGTCTCTGGTGCTGGACCTGTCATCCCAAGCTGGCCTGCTGGGGCTGAACTCCTGATCCTGGCTTTCCATGTCTCTGATGCTGGATCTGTCATCCCAGGCTGGCCTGCTGGGGCTGAACTCCCGGTCCTGGCTTTCCATGTCTCTGGTGCTGGATCTGTCATCCCAGGCTGGCCTGCTGGGGCTGAACTCCTGATCCTGGCTTTCCATGTCTCTGGTGCTGGATCTGTCATCCCAGGCTGGCCTGCTGGGACTGAACTCCTGGTCCTGGCTTTCCATGTCTCTGGTGCTGGATCTGTCATCCCAGGCTGGCCTGCTGGGGCTGAACTCCTGATCCTGGCTTTCCATGTCTCTGGTGCTGGATCTGTCATCCCAGGCTGGCCTGCTGGGACTGAACTCCTGGTCCTGGCTTTCCATGTCTCTGGTGCTGGATCTGTCATCCCAGGCTGGCCTGCTGGGACTGAACTCCTGGTCCTGGCTTTCCATGTCTCTGGTGCTGGATCTGTCATCCCAGGCTGGCCTGCTGGGGCTGAACTCCTGATCCTGGCTTTCCATGTCTCTGGTGCTGGATCTGTCATCCCAGGCTGGCCTGCTGGGGCTGAACTCCTGATCCTGGCTTTCCATGTCTCTGGTGCTGGATCTGTCATCCCAGGCTGGCCTGCTGGGACTGAACTGCTGGTCCTGGCTTTCCATGTCTCTGGTGCTGGATCTGTCATCCCAGGCTGGCCTGCTGGGGCTGAACTCCTGATCCTGGCTTTCCATGTCTCTGGTGCTGGATCTGTCATCCCAGGCTGGCCTGCTGGGGCTGAACTCCGGGTCCTGGCTTTCCATGTCTCTGGTGCTGGATCTGTCATCCCAGGCTGGTCTCCTGGGGCTGAACTCCCTGTCATGGCTCTCCATGTCCCTGATTTCACCAGTCCATGCCAGCCGGCTGGGGCTGAACTCCCTGTCCTGGCTTTCTGTGTCCCTGTACTCCCGAGTCCAGGCTGGCCGGCTGGGACTGAACTCCCAGTCCTGACTCTCCATGTCCCTGGGGTTATACCTCCTGTCCCAGGCTGGCTGGCTGGGGCTGAGCTCTTTATCTGGGCTCCCAGCATCCCCAGTGCTGGATCTGCCAGCCCAGCCCAGCGTTAATTTCTCGTCCTTGCTCCCAGCATCCTGGCTGCTGTATTTACTGGCCCAGTCTGAGGGGAGTTCCCTTTCCTTCATCTCCGTGTCCCTGCTGCTGTACCTGCCTGCCCAGGTGGGCTGCCCGGAGCGCAGTTCCTTGTCCAGCTGCCGGACATGTCCGGTGCCAAGGCCACTGCCCCAGTTGGCCTGTCTGGAGCCAAGCTCCTCCGTGCTGCCGTAGCCCTGGCCCCACTCGGCTGAGCTGGCACTGAAGTCTGGATCCTGTGGGCAGCTCTTCCCAGTGCCAAGGGACTGGGACCAGTCACTGCAGCCCAGTTTCATGTCCCCCATCGGCTCCGCTGCTCTGTAGTCACCACTCCAGCTCTCCCGGGCAGTGCTGTCTTTGTCACTGTGGTTGCTGTCCCAGCTGGATTTGGTCCCGAATTCCTGGTCTTGCTTGGTCTCAACTGGCCAGTCTCTCTCCCTGGACGCACCTGGGTGCCTCCAGTCAAAGGTGCTGTCCTGGTGAGGGCGGCCAATGCCAAACTCACTGCACAGGTCCTTCCGTGACCAGCCCAGCAGGTTCTGGTGGAAAAAAGGGGAGAGGAGTTAGAGGGGGGAAAGAGGTTAGAAGGGGGAGAGGAGTTTGAGGGGAGCAAACCCTGGCTCCCACAGCAGCGGAGCTGGGGAGGAGGGAAACACCTTGGGGACACAGCACAGTGGGGCTCATCCCAGGGAGGGGGCAGACCCCACCACCTGCCCCTCAGCACACAGTCCTGCTCAGCCTCCACCCACTCATCACCCATCCTGTCCCATCCCGCTGCTCTGTGGAGGGCAAGGGAGGAAGAGCCCAGCCCACACTGACCCCACAGAGCCCCACACACCCCTCACCTCTGGAGAGCTGCGGACCCCAGATGACGCCAACAGCTCTGTCAGCCAGCCCGGGTCGGCGTGAGGGTCGGGGTTCTGTGAGGGTCCTTCAGCCCGGCCTGGGCCCCCAGGACCCTGCAGGCTCTTGGGGCCATCACCTGCACAGGCTGAGTCAGCTGCAGCAGCTGGATCCAGGGGGGCTGGATCCAGGGGGGCAGCTGTGGTGAGGCTGGGCTCGGTGGGGGACTCGGGCTCAGCTGGGTGCTGGCCAGGCTCTGTCACATGAAGTGGGGAGTGGGACACGGGAGCATCCTGCTGTGCCTCCCCTTCCTCCTCCTCTGCTGAGCCCTCAGCCTGTGGCTGGGTCACGGGACCCCCCGGGCATGGAGCCCCCTCTGTCTGCTGGCTGCCAGGTCCTTCAGACCTGCTGTCCTTTGGAGGGCCGAGGGCTGCAGCCTCCCCATCTGACTCCCCCTCTTCGGAGAGCCCCGAGTCAGGCGTCTCCCGGATGGGGGAGCGGGGAGGAAAGGCTGGTAAGCGTGCCCCCCGCGATGGGAATGTCCACTCAAAGGACTGGGAAAGGCTCCAGCCGGACTCGCTGCCCAGGGAGGGCTCTGACAGGAGGTCTCCAGGCCGGGGCAGGGCACTCAGTGAGCCCCCCAGCTCCCCCAGGCCCTGGCCGGTCGGTGGGGGCCGCAGCACCCCCTCTGAGGAGCGCCGGAGCCCCACATCCCGGGGAGGGGGGTTGAAATCAGGACCCTCATGGGACCGTGGGGACACTGTGGAGTCATCAGGTCCTTCTGGGGAGCCTGGGGGACGAGAGGCTTTGGCAATGGGTGGGCTGGGGGGGCCCAGGTACTCAGCAGCAGCCTCGGGAGAGCCGGGGGGGCAGGTGACTCGTGGGGGCAGTTCAGGAGTGCCAGGGGGGCTGGCAGTGCCAGGGGATCCCTCCCCTGGAGTGTGTGGGGAGCCAGGGGAACGGGAGACACTGAGCTGGGGTTCAGTGGCTGAGGGAGCGCCCGGGGCCTGGGTGGAGGTGACAGGGACCTCGACTGGAGGCTGAGTGGGGGATTTGGGGGAGCCAGGGGGCAGTGTGGGGGAGTCTGGGGCCAGGAGCTCAGCAGGAGAATCAGGGGAGCCAGGGGCTGGGGCAGAGGGCTCAGCAGACTGGAAAGGAGCTCCTGGGGCTGGGGCTGGGCAGGTGGGAGGCCTCGGGGAGCCTGGAGGTCCGAGGGCACCCAGCTGTAGAGTGGAAAGCTGTGGAAAAAGCCAGCAGGGGATCATATCACTCAAGAGGCACCTCCAAATATCATCCATCCAAAAGCCAGCCCCCCAAACCTTGGAGGGTCCCTCCCTCCAGCCCCGCTCCCCCTCCCTGCACCCGGGGCAGGAAGTGCCCATGCTGCGTGCCAGAACCAGGCTGCTCCTGCGTGACTCAGTCAGGGCGGCTCCTGGTGCCCCAGCCCTGCTCCCTGCCCGGCCCCCTGCTGCCCCCAGAGCGCCTGGACAGACGGAGACAAGAAATGAAGCAGGAAGAAGTCAGAACCCCCAGCACAGCCCCCTGCCCTGCCCGTGGCTGGCATCCCCCTGCCCAGCACTGCTGGGGTTTGCCCCCTCACTAGGGTGACCTGGTGCCGCTGCCCAGGCTGCCACCCGCAGTGTCACCGTGGCCCGGTGTCCTGGTCACTGCCCTGAGTGAGCACAGCAGAGAAAGGGGCTGGCGGGGTGCCCGTGGGGCCTGCCCTGCCACATACCTGCCAGGTCACAGAACCCCAGCTGGTGACTCACGGCTGCTCCCTGCCCACGCCTGGCACCGGTGTTGGCACACGCCACCCCCACACAGCCGGGCCCCACACAGGACTTTAGGCACAGGGGGCCCCGAAACCCCCCAGGAAGGGGCAGCCAGCGCCCCAAGGAGAAAGGAGAGACACGCACCCCGCAGAGAGGGAGCCCCGGAGGAGACAGGAGAGCCCCGAAGGAGAGAGCCCAGGAGCGGAGCCGCCATGGCGCCGGAGGGCGAGGCCAGCACTCACGTCAGGAGGGGATGGCGGCCTCCGGCGTCCACAGGGGTCCCCGGCACAGCTCAGCCCAGCTGGGGGGGAGCTGCTGCAGCGAGAGAAGGGGAAGGGGGGTAAATCCCACTGTGTGTCTCAGTGCTATTCTCCCACCACCCACGGGCCCTGCCACAGCTGCACAGTCTGTGGCTTGGACTGTGAGGGAAAAGAGGCAAAGTGGCCCCAGCTCCCCTTCCGGAAAGTTTTCGATCCTTTGGGAGCAAGTTTCTCACACTGTGTCTCAGAGCAGCCCCCGCCCAGCTCTCCCTGAGGTGCCCAGCTCTTGGGATTGTGGCCAAGCCCTGGCCCTGGCCCAGGACATCCTGCAGCTGGAAGTCCTGCTGATCTGCTCCCTGTGCCCTGGCATGGCCCAGAACGGAAAAAATAGCAAGGCTGGAAAATCAGGAGCATTTCCTGGGGGAGCGACCCCCTGTCTGTCACTCCCAGCCCAGGGGGCTGGCTCAGAGCCTGCCCACAGGCAGCTCCTGGCCTGGGACAGCCCATTCTGCGGTTGGCACCAGCCACCCCGGTCTTCCCATGGAGGCAGCCGGAGGCAGCTTGAGGCACTGCGGCTCAGGAGGAACCCGGGCCCCGTGCCGACGACCAGACCTCAGCTCCGTTACATTCCCAAGCCTGGGATGGCTCAGAGTGATATTCCCTGTTCCCACAGCCACTCCTCCCGGTGTCGGTCCCTGTGCCCTCACCTCATTTCAGCCACAGGGTGTCCATCAGCCCCCATTCCCAGCTCGCCTGCTGCAGGTCGGGGCATCTGGGGGGCTTCGCCGGCAGGGTCTCCGTCTGCCTCCCCGCTGGGACGCTTCCGGAAGGCAACAAAGGTCTTGGAGCCGAAGCGGGAGGAGGGGTCGGTGCAGAAGGGTGAGAGCCAGGCCCGGTCTGGGCTGCCTGGGCCCTCCCGGCTGTCCATCTTGGCCAGGATCTCCTCCACGGTGGTGCCCGGGAACCGCTCCGGCCTGGTGGCCACCGGCACCGGCGTCACCTTGAAGGGCGCCGGGCCCTTGCGTGAGGGGGTTGGCGGGGCCGACGGCACCTCCTCCTCGGTGCCCGTGACCAAGGGCGACGAGAGCCCCTTCCCATTGAGGGTCTCGGGTGATCTGACAGTGAAGGAGGGGCGCCGGAGGGGCCCCCCCGTGGCTGCCCCGCTGTAGGGCTGGGGCCCGGCCAGGCGGTTCATCTTCTCTGCTGAGGGCAGCTCGGGCCGGGGGTGCCGTGGGCCCGGCGTGGGGGGCAGCACCGGGGGCTTGGCGGGCACAGCTGGCTTGGGCAGCACGTGGGGCTTGGGCCGCACCGGTGGCTTGGGGCGCGCGCTGCCTGCAGAGAGCAAGGGAGGGGGACGGGGTCAGCGGAGTGGTGCGATCCCCCCCAAAATGGGAGCAGCCCTCAGTGGGCTGCCCCAGCAAACTCCCCCGCCCCGATGGCCCCCAGCCCGAGGTACTGACCTTTATCGGGGCTGCCGGCCAGCCCGGCCCCCCCAGTGGTGGCAGGGGGGGTGCAGGGCACGGTGGGGTGCAGGGGCTGCGGCTGGGAGGCCATGGTGACACAGGGATGTGGGGGGCTCAGTGCAGGGTCAGCCCCTGAGGAGAGAGGGAGAATCGGTTAGGGGAGTGCCTCGAACCTGGGGGAACCCAACCACCCTGTGGGGCCCTGTGCCAAGCCCTGTCCAGCTGTGCCAAACAGTGATCACACCGTGGTGCCACCCTCAGTACATTGGCCCCAGCTCACCTGAGGCAGCCTGGCCCCAGCAGCAGACCCAGACATGGCCCCAACCCCCACCTACTACCACAGGGACCCCACACTACACCCCCGCCGCCACGGGGCCGGTCCTTTACCTGTCTGACCCTGCGCTAACCCGTCCCAGCACACACGTGTCACTCTCACCGACCTTCGCCAAACTCCCAGTGCCCAGCTGGCCCCGAGTCTGCCCCAGTCCCCATCTCCGCTCCCTGCCCAGGTCACCTCCCGGCCCCCCCGAGCCCCCGGCAGCCCGGGAGGCACCGCCCGGTCCCCCGGGACCCTCAGCCAGCCCCTCTCAGTGGCCGCGGGTGCCCCACTCACCTTCCCCACTTCAGCCTCATGTCGGGGGCGGGCCGGGGACACACGTGGGGGGCGCAGAGCGGGCGGGGAGGAGGGGTTAGTGTCCCCACGGGTCTCACGCTGCTGCCGCCGCCTCTCCCGTGACTCACCGGGGCTGCGGGGACAGGAAAAACCCGCTCGGTGCCTCCTCCCGGCCCTGCCCTCTCTCCCCTGCCCTCCCCCCGCCGCCCTCCTCTCCCCGCCTCGCTGCCTCCTGCCCCGCCGGGGTCCACCCTCCCCAGGACCCCCTCCTCTCGCCTTCCACGGGGGAACCGCCACCACTACCCACATCTGGCAACCATCCGGCCCGTTTCCCGGCCCGGGATGGCGGCGGGGCCCCGGGATGCGGGTCCGGCCCCCCGGGGTCCTCCGCCAGTGCGGCCTAGCCTCGTTGCCGTGGCAACGGAGCCTGCGATCGAGTGGCTGAGTAGGCCGCGAACGCGGCCTAGCGACGTCCCCATGACAACGAAGCCCCCCACTCAATTTCGGGGGTCCCGGCCCATGTTGCCCGCCGGGGCCGAAGCCGCGTGATTCCCCGGCGGGCGCCACGGGCCCGAGGGGATCCCGGTTACCTGCAGCCCCATGCCGGTAGAGAGACCCCCACTCACCCTCCACCGGCGCTGCTCATGCATATTCATGAGCGCGCAGGTCACGCCCGGCGGCGGAGGGGGCGGGGCAGAGCGGCGCCGCGTGGCGGGCGGGCCGTGGAGGGGCGGCCGGAGAGCGCTTGAAATGGGGCTGGGGGCGCACGCTGGAGACCTCCAGCGCTCCCCGAATAATCACCCTCGGGGGCCGACAGCCGAGCAGAACACCCCCGACTGCCAATGATCCCATTCCCGGGGTCCTCCAGCCGCGGGGCTGCTGCCTGAGGGGCGGTTTAGGTGTGACAATAGAGCCCTCCCACCATTTGGGCATGCAGGGTCCCTTGTGCCCACCGCGGAGCCGCCCCGGGGAGCTCCCGCTTCCCCGTAGCCCCATCCCAGCGGTGCCAGTAAAGGCAGCGGAAGGAGGGGGGAACAGGCAGCCATGGGGCCCCCCCGGGGCTGGTTCCAGACCGGGAATCGGCTGCAATCAACAACCGGAGGGGAAACTGGCTTTAATCGGATCATCCCCCTCATGAGGGAGGTAGAAAAAAACCCAAATGGCATCAGGATCGAGCGAGGGGCTGTAATTAGGAGCCCTGATGGCTGAGCAGGGGCTGGGGGCCGCTAATGGAGGGTGGGGAGAGAGTGAAGTCAGCCCTGGAAGCTGTTCAAGGAGGGGAATGAGCTCCCGGATGGCTGCAGGAAGGAAGGAGGGATGGGGGAGCCAGCCCCACACCCACACAAACACCATCAGTGGGTTTTTTTTTTTATTCAACCCAAGTTGCCATGTGAACAGACCCAAAATACAAAAAAACAACACAAAAAAAAAAAACCAAAAAAAAAACCAACGAGGGAAGGAAAGAAAAGGAGAGAAACCCAAGTGTTTAGAAAAAATAAATTGATGGGATACAAATGTGAGGGACTGAGGAGCCTCTGGCACCTCCCGCCACCACGGGGTGCACGGGGGGACAGGGGAACCTGGCCCTGCTCCCGGGTGGGAGTCATCCAGAGCCTGGGACCCCGGTCCCTGCCGTGGGGCTGGCCCGCCCATTCCTCTCCCGACCTGGGATCCAGCCTGAAGCCAGCTGGGATGGCGCTAATCCGAGCCGGAGGCAGAGTCCTCTGAGCTGGGGGCTGGGCTGGCAGCTCCCTCATCCTCTGAGTCCTGCAGGTGGGGGACAAACAGGTCAGCAGGGGACAATGAAGGCAGGGCAGTATCCCCCGCTACAGCGGGGACAGGGTGATGGTGGTGACTTGGGGACACACCGAGGGATGTCCCCAAGGACATGAAGTACCAGAAGGACGCAGCGCAGAAACCACCAGGATGTTCCCCAAGGAAGAGGGGCTGGGACCCTCCCAGAGTCATTCCCCAGGGAAGAGGAACCAGGACCTCCCCCAGTTGTGACCCTCACCTCCTTCTTGCTCTCTGCAGAGGAGCTCTCATCACTGGATACGAATTCCTTGCTCTTGAAGCTGTCACTCATGCCCTTAGCCGGGGACTTGGAGGATGAGGACTTGGAGGTGGCACCTTTCTTGTCCCCCTTCCCCTTCACCTGCTTCTCCTGCTTCTTCTTCTTCTTCTTCGACTTCTCCCTGCACGGGGTTGGGTGAGCAGAGGGCAGAGGAGCCACATTACCCAGCTGGTCCTGGGAACAGCTCGATTTTGGGGGGCAAAGCCCCGCCAGCCCCCTTGCCAGCACACTCACCCCCTGTGGCTGTCAGCCTTGCTGCCCACACTGTATTCCTTCATGGCCTTCTCGTAGTCCCGCCTGGCATCTTCTGCCTTCCGATCCCACTCCTGCAGCCAGAGCATGGGCTCAGCGAGGCCCTCCTCCTCCTCCACCATCCTCCAGCACCCCACCCTGCTCCCACTTCTGATCACCCAGCTCACCAGCCTGAGGATGTCCCCACCCTTTCCCAACTCCCCATCTGTGCAACTCCAGGCTCACAAGAGCAAGGAAGGGTCTTCCATAGCCAGCCTCCCCTCCTGTACCAGGCCCAGCTGTCTCCTGGGCTCCCCATCCCTCACCTCCTTCTTCTCCTTGGACATGGCCTTCCAGAGCTCCCCAGCCTTCTTGGACAGATCGGTGATGCTGATGCCAGGGTGGTCCGACTTGATCTTCTCCCGGTTGGCATTCAGCCAGAGCATGTAGGCCGACATTGGGCGCTTGGGAGCGTTGGGATCCTTCCCCTTCTTGCTCTGGGAGGTGGAGAACATGCGTGGAAACCCAATGCACCCCTCACCCAACACCTCAGGACAGGGCTCTGCTTGCCTCTGCACCCCCCAGCAATCCAGCTGCAGCCCTGGGAGAAGGGCTGAAGAGACAGGCTGCTGGAGAACAGCCTGACAACAACTAGGATAGGCTGGGCACGGGAACAACGTGCCCATGGGAGAGGCTCAGCCTGGACCCATCTGGAGGCAGCGACACCAGGCCAGACAACAGCTCTGACCAGGGCACGGGTGAGTGCTGGTCCTGCTCCCACAGCAGCCCCTCACCTCCGGCTGCTTCTTGCGGGGCTTGCGGTCCTTGACGATCTTGGCCTTCTTGGCCGGTTTCTTGTCGTCACGGTCGCTGTCGCCGTCACCGCTGGAGGAACTGGCCGAGGCGTTGCTGTCGAACCTGCACGGGGCCACCAGCCTCAGAGCTGCTCCCAGACACCACAGCCCTGAGCCTTCCCGGGCTGGAGCTGCTCTGCTCCCGTTAACAGCCCTCAGGGAAGCAGCCTTCCACGGACATGGCTTGTTGTGTTCTGCTTCCTGGACATTCGGAGCTCTCATGGTGCCAGGGCTCAGCTTCAAGCTCCCCACGACTCCCACCCATCCTTACCCCAGCCTGGGGTTTTAACCCTCCTCCCAGCTGCTCTCTTTCCTGAAGAGTGCAGCCAAGGCCTCCCCTGGAGCCCTTCCAGAACTTTCTCATACTGCCTAATGCCATTACAATGAAGCGAGCCCAAAACTGCTCCAGCTGCCCAGCATTCCCAAACCCAGGGCTGTACGTTCCCAAATCCAGGTGATCCCAGTCATGCTGTGAGCATCTCTCAATGCTCACACAGCCCTAGAACAGCACCTTCCTATAGGGCTTTTTGATAGAGCCCTGCCTGGTCTCTACTCACTCTTCAGCCACGTCATCATCCTCTTCTCCAGGGTTGAAGGATGAGTCTGGAGGAGAAAGTGAGGGCTCAGTGCTACAGATCATCATGGGGAGCAGGAGCTGGAGCACCACAGCACTCCCTCACAGCCCCAGCGCTCACCTGTCTCCTCCCCAGAGCCATCACTGCTGTCATTGGCATTCTCCTCCCGGATCTTGCCCTCCTCTTTCATCCTCTCCAAGTAGGCATCGTGCTGGTCCTCGTCAGAGTCAGCATATTCATCGTAGCTCTGCTTCATTCCCTGTGGAGAGGCAGGATGAGAGCTGCTCCCTGTGTTCCACTCTGGAACACAGCCCTGGGTGAGCACAGCCCTGGGCAAGCACAGGCCAGGGGACAGAATGGCCATGTCCCCTCCTTCCCCCCTCAGGGCCCCAGAAAGAGGGGCAGAGCACCCAGAAGGAGGGGCAGAGCAGTTATGGGATTACGGGGGCCCTCGCACACCACACTGGGGTTACTGGGTTAGTCAGAGACCACCACGGCCATGCACAGGAAACCTGCACCAGGAGGAGGAGGAGGAGAAAGAGGAAGGGATATCGCACGGACCTTTTTCCTCTACAAGGGCAAGGAGAGAAAAGAGAGGTGAAAAAAGGAGGGAAAAGCAGCCGGATTCTGGGAGAAGGCAGCGCTGGCGCCAGTGGGTGCGAGCCCGGCCCCGCCTGGCTGATACCTCCTTCAGGCCCCGGTTCTTGATGTTCAGCTTCTTGGCATTGACGAAGTCGAAGAGCTTCCCGTACTCCTCCCTGTGGGAGAGGGCACGGTGGGGCTGGGGGTGCTGGGGAGCCCCAGTGGGCACAGCCAGGCTGGCCCCACAGCCCACACCCACCTCTCGATGCTGCTGAAGGTGTACTGGGTGCCCTGCTTGGTCTCGATCTCGAAGTCGAAGGAGCGGGTGGTGGTGGTGCCGCGGGCGAAGTTGACGAAGGAGATCTCATCGAAGCGGATGTGCACGGGGGGCTTGTGCACGTAGATGAAGCCCCTCTCCAGCGGGTACAACAGCCCTGAGCTGGCCTTGTAGGAGCAGGTGATGCACTGGGCTCCAGAGTGTCTGCAGGACAAACACTGCTATCCATGGGGACAAACATCCTCCCCGTGCCCAGCCCTGGCAGACAGGCCCTGCTTCCCAGCACGAATCACACAGAGAGCCCCTTCCCCGTGGCCATGGGGACGAGGTGCAAAGAGAGGGACTGGCCCTGCAGCTGCTCACCCCTGGAAGTTTCCGGGCACGGTGATCTTGCGGTTCACCAGCGCCTTCATCACCCGGCTGACCATCTCGTAGAGGGACCCTGACATGTTCTTGGTGAGCCGCCCCTCAAAGCGCTTCTCCACCTCCTCCCTGTGCAGTGGGAAGGAGGGCAGAGGTGAGAACAGGGTCTGGGGTGTAAGTAGCTCCCTCAGGATCCAGCGAGGGGTCTGGGAAGCAGCGTGGCATTGGGCAGCTCACTCATTCATGTTGAGGGTCAGGGAGATGTCCTCATCCTTGGAGAAGAGCAGGATCAGGAAGTGGTAGCGAGTCTGGCCTTGCTTTATTGGGGGGTCCAGGCTGATCTGGAAAGAGAAGAGGAGGTGAAGACACAAAACCCCCCAAACCACCCCCAATGCCCTTCTGGAGGAGGGCTGAGCCATTCCCACTCACCACGAAGAACATCTGGCGCTGGTCCTTGT